AGAAAAGAAAAAAAAAATCGAACATGAGGAAAAAGAAAGGAAAGAAGAAATAATGGAATGTGAAGAAAATTCCAAAACAAATGAAAAATATTACGTAGAAAAACAAGAAAGAGAAGATAAAAATAAGACACCTCAAGATTACAAAAATAAGAAGTTTGCGAAAACAAAAACGATGAATACAATAAAAAGTTGTACTACTTATATTATTTAAATCTTTCATTAATAATTGTATAATTAGTATTTGCAAATCAATTTTCGTGAATGGAGCCACCACGTTAACTCTCAGCCGCAGAATTACCAAGATGCCCTTAATGAAAATCTATTATTAAATCTTCTGAATTTCCTTTTTTAATTATTTCACAATTTCGTTTTTTATATAAAAGTTCATTATTTTCTTATTAATTTCCTTATTAAATATTGATAATTATCCTTTTCTTTTTTCCTCGATTTATATTTATCACTTAAATAAATATTCTAACTATCATATTACCGCACCACTTTTCTGGAAGAAATCAAATAATTAGGTAAATTTTTAAAAGACCTCAATTATATACAGATAGAATCTATTTTAAAAATATTGAAAATATTAACTATCGAAATGAATTGGTAGGTGATATGCAAGACACAAACAAGACATAATAGATATATAAGTAAAAGAAAAGAAAACAGTGAAAAAGAAGATGAAAAATTTAGAAAAGAAAAAGAAAAGTCGAACATGAGGAAAAAGAAAGGAAAGAAGAAATAATGGAATGTGAAGAAAATTCAAAAACAAATGAAGAATATTACGTAGAAGAACATGAAAGAGAATATAAAAATAAGACACTTCAAGATTACAAAAATAAGAAGTTTGCGAAAACAAAAATGATGAATACAATAAAAAGTTGTACTACTTATATTATTTAAATCTTTCATTAATAATTGTATATAAAAAATATTGTACCCGCACAAGGTGCGGGACAACCACCTTGTAGTATGGTAATTGTTCCATCGAGATTGGAAGTAAGGAAAAAAGTTAAATACCGTTAGTGCCTAGTGGGAGTGTCTTCTCTTTTATTAGTCACGTTCCGTATCAAACCCTTTCTAGTTTCTACTACCCACTAACATTTTTATATAATTAACCAAGGAAGGCTGACTCATATTTGTTTTAAGAATTATTTTTTTATCGTAGTCAAACCAAAGTACTTCAAGTTTCAGTTTTGGTTAAGTTTAACTTCACGATTCAGATCGGATTAGACATTAAAGTACTTCCAAATTCAGTTTTGACTAAAAGTTACGTTAAACCTCAAGATTTAGGTCGAATTGATTTGCTTTTGCCTCACAATCCTGTTTGTTTAAGAATGAAGATATTTTGATTGCATCGTCATGTCATATGGAAAAAAGAAAATCATATAATATGTTTCTCATGTTTAAATGCAACCGAATGGTTTCGAATTTGGCTAGTTTCCCCCCCAAAAGAAATCCAAACTTTTTAATTTGAGGGAAAATAACCCTTATTGAAGTCAACATGCCGTGTGATTTGTTTTGGATGAGTGTGTATGCACACTATTGGTTTTTAGAGTGTATATATATATATATTACCAATAAAGGAGAAAGTATAAAACAATGTCAACTAAAGAAAAACTAATCCAGAAAAGTACCAAAAACAAAATAAAAAAAATCAACTATTTTATTGATAAATGATTAAGTTGGTTTTGATAGAAAGTTTTTGGAGCTTTGTATCATTAGTATTGCATAGAAATTATATAAATTGATAATATTAACTAGGAAACCACCAAATCAAAATCTTCAGCTTAAGCAACTCATTTTGTCCCAAGACTATTTTTGTCAGCTGACATAAGGATTAAGTAATTGTTTATCTAATTGTTTAATACGAAGGGATAACCATGACCACTTCAAATTTCACTCCGGTCAATGCTGTGCCACTTTTGTTTATTGCCAAAGTTGGCATGTTTCATTTGCATAAGAAATTTTCATATTACAAAGAGTGTTGGCTTTGTTTGTTTGTGTTATGTAAGACTCGTGCCTTTATTTTTAAAAACAAACTCGGGATAGATGTTGCCGGATTTTAACTGTAGACGGTAAGACTCGTGCCTTGATCTTGACTCACATAACGAGTCTTTTACCGATCAAAAATGACTTATATAATCGTCGTTTTAAAGTCATAAAAATATAATCATGATGATGAATGTGGCCTCAGCAACGAACTTTCGGTCTTTATCACAACGACTGAACATTTGATTTTTAAAACTGAAAATTCGTTTTAAGGTATGAGATCAGAAGTGGTAGTTCACACGGCGCTACCAGTCGTCTCCTAAAGCCACTTCATCTCAACTCTCAAGTATTTTTCTTTTTTGTTTAGTTAAAGCTTCATCTCATGTCTTTATCTTTGAATTAGTCAAAAGTCTTCGTTTCCCTTATTTTTTGATAAATAATTGCGGCATTCACTTGTTTGACTTTCTTTTATTCTATTTGCGAATAAGTGACATCGCATCGCATGTATACATGTATTCTTGTTTTATAGTAACATGTGTGTATATATATAGAGAGACATAACAGGAACAAAGGCCATATCACTCTCTTTTTCCTTTTCCCCTTATAGATAAAACTTGTGTAACCCTTAAAACATTATACATTCCAGAAAAAATAGGGTTTTGAGTAGTAATATTAATGGCAATAAAAGAGAGATCATTGGAGGAGACGCCAACATGGGCTATTGCTGTTGTTTGCTTCGTTATCCTTTTCATCTCCATCATGATCGAATATTTCTTGCACTTTGTTGGTCATGTACGTATATATCTTTTATCTTCTCCACCATTCCCTTCTTATATATTCAAATTTTATTTCCTCTCTTTTTGTTCTAATTTTTCTTTTCAAAATTTGTAGTGGTTTAAAAAGAAGCACAAGAAAGCTTTATGTGAAGCTCTTGAAAAGGTTAAAGCAGGCAAGTTTACTTTTTTCTAGAGATTAATAGCATAAATTTGGATATATGTCTTTCTATATATATAACGATCTGATTGATCTTTCTCTATTTGAATTTCCAACTAACTTTTTTCGTTTTTTCTTGGTTTTGGATGAAACAGAATTGATGCTACTGGGATTCATATCGCTTCTACTTGTTGTATTGCAAACACCAGTCTCCGAAATTTGCATCCCAAAAAGTATTCATGCGACTTGGCATCCTTGTAGCAGCCAACAAGAGAATGCAAAATACGGTAAAGATCATATCGACGATGGTCGCAAAATTCTTGAAGACTATGACTCAAACGACTTTTATAGCCCTCGTCGAAATTTAGCCGCCAAGGGTTATGACAAATGTGGAGAAAAGGCATGTTTGATATATACTTACTGATTATTTTGTTACCTTCTAATTTCTCCACCTTTTTGTTTAGAAAATATGTCGAATCTTATGTTTATGTGTACAATTTTTTTCAGGGGAAAGTAGCATTAGTATCTGCGTATGGTATCCATCAGCTACATATATTCATCTTTGTGCTCGCTGTTTTTCATGTTCTCTACTGCATTATAACCTATGCTTTGGGAAAGACTAAGGTACATCTCTATACATTTTGTACGTTACAATTATATAAGTGCATATATTTCTATATGTTTAAATTTGTGAATTTTAATTATATGATTGTGTCGTATGCAGATGAAGAAATGGAAATCATGGGAGAGAGAGACCAAAACAATTGAGTACCAATATGCCAATGGTATAGTATACATACATATTTTGCAACCATTCTCATTGCAATATAGTGTCTTTTTAAAGTAGTAGTCAAAGAAATCAAAAACGAAATTAATATATATACAAAAATGAATAGTTATCACGTAAAATATTTTCGTCAGTGTTTGACTTTGGCAACGTTAACATCATGATCACGTATCAATCGGAATTCTTTATTTATCCGCATCTCTCAAGTTCGTTTATTTCATTGATTAGTTGTTAATATATACTGCCTTAGATAATCTGATATATAAGTAACATTATCCAATGACACAACGCCTTTTGTTTGACTCATGAATAAACAATTAACGCAAGAAAGTATACCATCATTTTTAATAAATTAACTAGATGTTCTGTCCTTTGATTTAGTTTGTTTAATTCAACTGGTTTATATAACAATTTTAGATCCAGAGAGGTTCAGATTTGCAAGAGATACATCGTTCGGACGTAGACATTTGAATATATGGAGCAAGTCTACATTTACCCTTTGGATTGTAAGTTTTCATTTATATATTTGTTACAAAAAGTTACTTTACTTTTCCCAGATTAAAAAAACAAAAAAATAGAACTGATGGATAAATATGGGGAATGCATGCAGACATGTTTTTTCAGACAGTTCTTTGGATCAGTGACAAAAGTAGATTATCTTACACTAAGACATGGCTTTATAATGGTAAGTAATAATTGTTGTATACTCCATAATCTTTTTTTTTTTTTTTTGGGATAAACCAGTTATTGATTAATTTTTTAACTTAATGGATGAATTGGTGAAGGCGCATTTGCCAGCAGGAAGTGGAGCTCGTTTCGATTTCCAAAAATACATTCAAAGATCTTTGGAAGAAGATTTCACGGTGGTTGTCGGTATAAGGTCCGTCCAATTATATATAATTCAAATTCAAATCTAATAATTTCTTCCAATAATCTAATTTTTCGCAATATTAAATATCTGATTAAATTAGTTATTAACGTATGTAATGTGTGTGTGTGAATGGAAATGCAGCCCACTGATATGGTGCATTGCTGTCTTATTCATATTGACTAATACACATGGTTTGTCCAATTCTTTTACATTTCATTTTAAGTAATTAATCAAATTATATATTGACGAAAATTATATAAACTTCAATCTATTTTCAAATTAAAATAGGATGGAATTCCTATCTATGGCTGCCCTTTATCCCCTTGCTTGTAAGTAATAATAAACACATTACTTTAGACATTTTAATTGGTTTATCATGCATTTTAATGAATTAGTTGGTTTGTTTAATGATTTGAAATGAAGGTGATATTAATAGTAGGAGCAAAACTTCAACTGATTATATCGAAATTGGGATTGAGAATTCAAGATAAAGGAGATGTGGTTAGAGGAGCTCCTGTCGTTGAACCTGGCGATGATCTCTTTTGGTTCGGTCGTCCTCGTTTCATCCTCTTCCTCATTCACTTGGTTCTTTTCACGGTAATTTTTTTTTTTGCTCGTACATATATAATTATGTAAATTTATCTTTTTAGTGTGATTTTGAAATTTGTATATTTTTTACAGAATGCATTTCAACTGGCTTTCTTCGTTTGGAGCACTGTGAGCAACAATCCATCTCTTCTCATATTAAAAAAAAAAAAAAAAAAAAAAAAAAAAAAAAAATCAACCAACAAGTCTTCTCAATAAATAAAATGATTTGTATCCAATTTTTGCAGTACGAATTCACACTAAGAAACTGCTTCCACCACAAAACCGAAGATATTGCAATTAGAATCACCATGGGGTTTGTTAACTTCCTCAACTATTTACTCATAATATACATTTGTACGTATGTTTTTTTTTAATCTTAACTTTAAACTTCTTCTTGTTGTACACGGCAGGGTATTAATACAAGTTTTATGCAGCTACATCACTCTACCTCTCTATGCTCTTGTTACTCAGGTATATATCTTAAACTTTGTGTTGGTGCAACCTCTTGCGATTAATAAATATCATGTCAAGTTTAATACTATTTCAATATAAATAATTCGGCAATGAATAGATTTTTCTATATACAGTTTGTTATTATTCTCTTACACTAAACCGTGATCGCAGATGGGAACTTCAATGAGGCCGACCATATTCAACGATAGAGTAGCCAATGCATTGAAGAAATGGCACCACACGGCCAAGAAACAAACCAAACATGGACACTCGGAGTCTAACACACCTCACTCGAGCCGCCCTGCCACGCCAACACATGGCATGTCACCAGTGCATCTCCTCCACAACTACAATCACCGAAGCCTTGACCAGCAAACCAGCTACACTGCCTCTCCTTCTCCTCCTAGATTCTCTGACTTCGCCGGCCGCCACCAGAATTTCTTTGATCCTGAATCTCAGAGTGTCTCTTACCAACGTGAGATCACTGACTCCGAAAACAGCAACAGTCATCATCCCCATACCGACGTAGCAAGTCCTGTTAGGGAAGAGAGAGAGGTTGTTGAGCATGTCAAGGTTGATTTGTCTGAGTTTACGTTCAAGAAGTGATAGGACTTCTCTACTTTTTACTTGCTGTTCATTCTTTATGATGTAAATGATAAACTTGGGAATGAACATTTCTCCTATTTCTCACTTACAAATTTTGCTGTAGTCTCAAATCAAAACGTTTTACGATATCATATCATATTAGTAGACATACTTTTCATCAAATTCACTGATCGTCTTTACCAAAGCACCAAAAATCAAAGTCTATTATGTGTTCTAGAAGCAGAGCAAATGAAAGGATCTTGATGTCTCAGAATGATGCTTGTAATAGTAACATATGGTCATATCATTACAACTGAAAAAATGGTTATGATAGTTTAGATATGGAGCAACTCTATACACTAAAAACTTGAGTCTTTCTATGGAATCTCACCTTCTTACTAAGTTACTATAGAACCCTTTGCTTGGGGATTGATAACAATATACACTAGATGCTTCTGGTTCTGCGTCATTGTGAGAAATTCAGGTACGAATTGCGACAGGAGCAGACATAGATAAATAGTTGACGTAACCTTCAGAGACCGAGATCACAAACCGATGGCAAGCAAGAGCAGAGGTGGTGAGAGACATGACAAAGGAAGTCCAGCAGAATCTGAGCATCAAAACGCGGTCAGTCATTGCAGATTCCAGTATCTTTCTCAATATCACTCTCACACGTTTGTCTCTGATTAAAATCTTGAAGTCTTTGACTGTAACGTTGGTTCTTGAAGATGGTGGTGGATCTGAAAGAGAGATGAATTTAAGTGATTTAATCCCGAAGACTCCGACCATCCATTGGTATAGTGTGTCTGCAATCGTCGTGCAAAGTTTCTGGCGGATGACATGTCCCTCTTTTGAAATAAATGTCCGGATCAGTGAAGCCCCATTCTGTTATCAAAGCAAAGAACCAAACCAAGTTTGTAACGTAAAAGATCATTTTCCTCATAAATAGCTTAAACCACAAATGTAAAAACTAACCGCAGCCATCAAGAGTCTTCTAAAAACCACACCGTCTTTGGATGCCAAAAGCTTCAAGACCAAACTTACAGTGTCAACATCACTGCCTGTTTGATTGGAACTGCTATGAACAGAACTTTCATCCCTTGATGATGTTAACAGTGGTGAACGTTTCCTAAAATAGGTATCAAATATAACTTATTATTGACAGACCTTAGACATGATTTAAATGATTAAAGTAAAATGTCTGATTCACTCTACCTCGTAGTAGAGCTTTTACTCAGGAAAAGTGAAACCCTTTCCCATCGGAATTCCTTCTTTCGGTTAAGGACTGCCTACATACATACACCAACAAAAGTTTAGAAAATTATTCAGTCTACCTAAGAGATGTCTTATTGTTTTCACTTTGAACCAATGAATGCACAGTGAAAGTGTAACTTTCAGAAAGGATACATAACCGAATTCCCATATGTATTACTAATGACATAAAGTCGAGTTTTCTCTGCCCATTTTAGATTTATAATAGAGAAAAGCAAAGTTCCTGTCATATTTTGTTGTGATTCTAAAAAGTCACTGAAATGGCACTAGAAACTGTATATTACCGAATGAAGAATTTTCCTTGTTGCATTTGAATTTTCAGTTAGGAGTTTCTGAACCACAAAAGGGTATGCAGCCTCAAATGTCTTAAAATTTGGATCTCCAACTGCAGCCAGACCTGGAAAAACACGAATAAAACGCTGATAACCAATAACGGAGAAAAAAACTGACTTAGTTTATCGATCCGTGAAAAAAAATGCAGATACCAGCTGAAAAGACAGATTCTCTCTTGACATATTCAAAACATGACTTGATGGTAAACTATTTCTTCTACCTATGATAATGAAACCATCGAACAAAGAGAAATGAAGGATTTGATTACAAGTACCTTCCAAGCAAGCAAGAGAGCGCAGGACAAGTGTGAAGTATGGTGGCATGCGTAGCTGATAGTTCAAGGCCACTTTGAGTATTTTACTAAGCACCTTGAGAAAATTAGAAGCATTGGGGGAAAAATTAGCGAAATCACTAGTACTCATTCAGAAGATGTTTGTGTCAATGAAGTTGAACTAACAACAGTTTTTGAAATACATGTCTCACCTTTGTGAACTCAATATCAGGAATCCCATTTTTAAGTTTAACCTCTCCCAAGGCAAATTCCAGATCCTGTATTATTTTTCAAGAATCATAAGATATGAGAATAGCAACTTCTTCAAATTTCAGCTATATTCTTATCGGTATTATACACTACACTTGAGTTTTCAGTAATCATTTAGTTACCATGGTAAAACGACGCATATTGACACCTTCCTTGATGACATCCATGTCAGTCAATGCTTCAACAAGAGAGGCCCAATCACCATTCACGATATGCACAATTGATGCCAGCATGGCAAGCTGGTGTTTTCTTTCCATTCGACACACTAAACCAAAGTCCAAAAACCTTGCATAGAAAAAAAAATGTTATATCAAATAAAGATCATCCTGTCTATCACAGTCATATTTCTCTGAGTGAAGCTGATGTGAACGGTCAAGAGATATACCCTATTTGCCTTGATGCCGTGTAACGCAAATTTCCAGGATGTGGATCTGCATGCAATATACCTGTATCAAGGAGTTGTACTAGAGTTGCCTCTACTCCTTTGTTCACCTACAATGAAAATTTGAAAAAAAAGAATCTAAGCTATTCAACCAACTGAAAGCAGCTGCAAGGATTGACTCTACTTTTTTTCATTAACTACATTGTAGTAATGTCAAAAGTAAAACTATATGATAAGAATATATCAGGAGGTTATGTCACTACTACAAAGCATATGTTAATTTACCAGATCAAGGAGACGTCTTCTCGCTTCGAGTTTCTCTCTCTCATGACTCTGAGAGTTATGTTCAGAGTAACCAGTAGATATTGAGAGTAAATCGGTTGGGCTTTCCCCAACCATCCACTCCATGGTCAAAACTCTTTTCCGAGTTAGATGTTTGTACACTTTTGGAACCCGGATGTAGGAAAATTTTGAGTGAGCTTCCTTCAAGAAACAAAGAAACAGAGAAAGCATTAACTTTGCTTCTTAACGACATGTTGTATTGGACTTGTCAAGGAAAAAAGAGTAACCAAATGACCAGTACCCGAAATTCAGAGGCATTGGCAGCCTCTAAAGTAAAGTCCAATTCTCCAGCCAAACCCTTTCCAAGCTCATCAGCATATACACGAATGTCATTCTCTCTTTTTGCGATCTTTCGCAGTACACCCAACTGGAACAACAAAACGAAATATCATATAGCTATGACATGATTCAAGAAGATTGATTTGAGAATACTTGGTAGATTTCACACGAACCCCAAGTCGCAGAATGTAAATGTCGCGTAGAACCGCATGTCTCAGATCAGGACGCTGAACTTTCACTGCAACATCTAAACCATCGAGAGTCCTTCCTCGGTACACCTAACAAATAGCATATCAAAGTATTAGCCTTGCAACTTGATTCATAATATTCATATGATGCTTACTTCTTGCAAGATTAAAAACGAGAGTAAAATACCTGACCAAAGGATGCTGCTGCTACAGTTTCTTGAGAGAAATTGCTAAAGAAGGATTCAACAGGAGCTCCTAGTTCCTCTTCAATAATTTTGACTGCCTCCGGCCAAGGAAAGGGAGGGATTCTATCATGCAGCTCAGACAGTGCCTGCAGTTTCCAATTATTTAGCCCAGTTAATAACATATGAAACCAACATAGTTAGACTCAGACAGCTAAGAGATTTAGATACAAGTGAACATAACATCTAACTGACCTTGGAGACTTCAGTCCCAATGAGATCTGGCCTTGTGGAAAGGGACTGACCAACTGGACCAGCAGAGAAGAGCGAAGCATTATTAACAACAGAGCAAAGTATAATCTAATATATGCTTCTAATGTAAGAAGCCACTGATAGATAGCTTCCAGACCTTTGATAAAAGTGGGTCCCAAATGTAGCATGGTTTCTTTCAACACTATCCCAAAATTCTGCCCTGAAGCTTCCAAGTTTTTACCCTTGTCTGATGCTGATGTCCGTAATCTAATGGCAGCAACCATGAACGTAGAAAATACCTAACAAATTAGCATTCAATTAAAACCACATCCAACACTTTCTGTCTCTCAAGGAAAGAAAACTGTTTGGTAACTTCAGGTCATTTTAGTTTCAATGTTACCAAAAACGAAAAAAAATTATCAGATGTCAGCAGTAATCTGTAAATTTCCAGTGATTAGTAGCATAACTACTCTTAACAGATACCTCGAGAAGCCTAAAGGCAACAACATGTGGCCTGCAATTAAAGTAATCTGCAACAGCCTGTGGATCATAAACTTCAGGAAGCGGTCTTGACCAAAGCTGAGAAAGACAGTAAACGTAACCAGCATATGCCTCCAAGGCTTTGACATCAGCCATGAACAAGTCCACTCCAGTTAGCCCTACCAAACAGTTTCGAATTGCATCACCAAATCATTACCACTACCAATCACATTAGCCCCAATCTAAAGAGAATGCCATTGGATCAAACAGCACAAAGACATTTCGGTTGGAAAAATCCAATCAACAACTCATTTATCAGAAAAGCATTCATCGTTATCATTAATTGTCTTCCCCTGATACTCCTAAACCCTAAAGCCCTCAACTTTTCAATCACACTCATAATTTCTGCCATTGCAAGATAACCTAAAGCCCTCAACTTTTTAATCACTTTCATAATTTCTGCCATTGCAAGATATCGAGATGGAAAAAAAAGCAAACCTGAGTATGAAGGTTGAGGCCAAGACTGTGGCTCCAAAGGCGGAGAAACATGATCCTCAAGATGGCGAAGCCAGAACAATTCCTCGGCGGACGTCTTCACTTCCGGGACACGGAAAGCCACGTTGGCCCACTTGATTCCGATGCCGATTTTGTTCTTCAGGAACTCCACGTCGTGGCGTACAACATCGGTGACGTGGCCGAGACCGAGACCGACGGAAACAGGTGGTAGCGATCTTCTACTGTGTTTTAATCGCCTCAATTCAGCAACTGCG